TCGTAGCGTCATCAATACCGTCATCTATTTACCTTAAATTTGCGCAAAATTTACTTACATTTGTGCATCGAAAAATAAGGATCATATGTAAATCATATTTGCAGCAATCAATGATGATATGTAATGATTACAAATTGTCTTCATAAGTTTATATCAAATTAACAACATATGCTGTGGCTACATTGAGAAAATTGATATGAATATAACAATGTAACAATAGTGATCAAAAATATTACAAATGTATTGGTTCATTGCATGATTACGAATTGAACTCACGATATGATATAAAATTTGTATAAACATATTTGTTCAAACAGAATTTGCTTCAAATTGATTTCAATTTTTGACAAATTAATTTCTACATCTCGTGACGATCATGAAAGTCTATCTGGGATAAAGAATATATCATAGTCATAATATGACTTGTATTTAATACATAGAAACATTTTCTCGTAAATAGCAGCGCGTGTCTATATACGTATAATTACTGAATTACATAAGATAATTTTTATTGAATTTTCCCATGAATGAATGAACATACGTCTTGCTAAAATCTGATGTTAGTCATTTGTACGTAACAGAATTATACACTAGTCATTGATTTAATATCTTACAATTGAATAAAAATGTCTATTAGAAGTATTCTATATTTAATTACGATAGAACGTTGACTATCCGAAATAATTGAAAGACAAACTCGTCCGGATAAGTGATTTTTCGAATATCTGGAAATATTCCATTTGTGATGCATGTCATATCAAGTAGAAATTAAACAGCTTCTATCTGTGGATGTATTTCTACGCAAAAAGTACATTCATCATGTAAAAATGAAATATCTTTAGATGCTATCAAGTTGCGAATTCCTTCGAAAACAAACGTTTATGAAGTATCTATAAATTCCTTTTTATATTTTCCTCATTGTAGTGCATTATTCAGTAAATGTTTCTTTCTCGTTATGTGTTAGGATGATACATGGGTCAGTATTATATATCGGTATATCCTTTCTTATACCATTGTATTTGTC